TTCTATGAGTACCTCACGTAAGGGACCATTCTGCAAAGAATCAAAGTATGTGTGATGGCTAATTGGCCAATGCAAGTCTGATCTTATTTTCGCTTGATTGTCATACATGTCGACTTCACAACTCAAGGCATTGAACAGTAATGATCAAGAGCAGAAATCTGTTTTACTTTCCATTCTGTAGTTTAGAGTACCTGAGGCCAATTTAGTACTCCTGCATTGCCCTACCTGTTGTCACCTAGTTTAGTACAAACTACAGAGCAAACAAGTGATAATCATAGTGTGTAGCTTAGCTCCATCTGAAGCAATATTCAGGAGAAGCTTCAAGTCATCTTTGCAACTACGCACCATGAATCCACATACATAATAGACATAAACCTTTTCTGAAATGCAAATAATGCTTGTTGTTGGCAGAAATCTCTGACCTTTTACCAATATACCACTGTTACTACATTGATCAACAGTCGCAATTAATAAAATTACCTCATTAATCAACTTAACACATGTAGATGGCATGCTGCATATTTATTTCTAAGTGACAGGAACAGATAGGAGACCTGATTTCTGCAATCCAGCACAAGTATTTATTATGCAAATCAACTGGTAATACTAAAACTCCCCATTGTGCTAAAGCAGGTTTTGAAGAATACCAACATTATCTGCACACCGAAACTGCAGTTCCTATTCTGTTAGTGAGCACGTTTTTATAGCTTAAAATTAATCTTCTCTGCCTCATAGCAACGAAACATAAATCATTCATTAAGTTAAATATAAGTGAATGACAATGCTCATTGAATATTTGGAGCTTGAAATCAGACTTGTATTTTGATCTCATCAATTCTGATAGTCCTAAAATGAGAACCAGATGGCTTGAAATATTGGCGTCTCTCTTGGTTTTATTGGTCCATTACTGGTTGCATATATTGCAGTTTTTACTTCAGCAAAAATTCGCTATAATCCACGATTTGTTCCCCTCAAAGTTGCTGCTATTATTCTAAAGGTCATACACTTATTGTTCATGCCAAACTTGCATTTTAATTGCAAAATTAATACTGACAATGAAAATAGCACCTCCAAATATCTCCAAATAAGATGGATTTCAGCCCTGCCCTTAGAGCCTACCTTTATATCTACAACGACTTGTATTAATACAGTAACTTACTTATCGAAAGGTCTCAAAGTGCTACACAGGAGTGAAATCAGACGAAACGATTGTCACCTAGTGAAAGGAAATATTCGGACTGACGATGAAGACCTTGGTCAAAGAGGAAAGTTTTAAGCTGCCTTAGGGAATGAGAGCAACACTATAAGTCAGGGAACTATGGAAAGGGAATTCCAGAATTGTGGGCTTCAACAAGTAAAGACATTGTTGCCAATTGTGACGTTACTGTGGCTTTAAGAGGTGTATTTTGTCCTTTTTTTTAAGAAGTAAGGCTGAGACAGAGGTATTGAGCAGTCTGTTCTAAAGCCAATAAAATTAACAGCTTGTGAGGCCTTGGGGTTTGTTTTAAAGTTGGAACAATAGAAGCAGCCTGAAGGTATAGGGTCAACCTCCCATGGAACCAGGATTTTTAAAAAGTTTTTGCCTTCAGTAGCAGTTTCTGGAGTTTTGAAGCTGGGTGTGGAAGCTTTTATTCCTCTCTCTGTTACAGCTAAAAGCTGGGATTCTCTTCCTGCTGCTAGAATTACATGTGAGACAATATATTTTACTGAATTTGCCTTTGCCAAGAGTGTGTTTATAGGATATTATTATACTGGAACAGTTAACTAATAGTAGTCAATATATATATTGTTAAGCATTTTGATAGAGTTAGAGCTAATCCAATTCTTTTGCTTTATTTTTATGTTGTCTGTATTTTAATTATAATGTGTATTAAAGTGTGTTTTATTTCAAGTTTGGTAGTTTGATCAATTGAATTGCATCTGGAATACAACACCTTACACTGGCGCTTTAAAATAAGAAAAGTTAGAGTCCACAGTATCTTCTTAATATATTTTAGGGGGTTTGGTCTGATCCATAAGAAAATATTGAGTTAATGAATTGAGGAATGCACAGAATATGAGCTGTACAGTTCCACAGAGTTTCCAGAGGATTTTAGACTGAAGAAAGGTGATAAAATAGGAATAGCCAAGGCTTGTGGTTGGGTTTGAAAACAAGGATGAGAACATAAAAATTGAGGCTTTGGTGGGTGAGGAGCCAATGTAGGTCAGCAACATGGATTGATGGGTGAACAGAAAAACAGTACCAGTTAAAACAAAACTTAGAAGACTTATTAAAACATAAATAGTAAAAGATTAGTGAAGGGATGGGTCGGATTATTCATGGCCCAAAAGGGCAACATTCTTGTCAAGGCAGAGGTCTTAACTGAAGTGCTAATTGCATGTTTTGCATACATCTTCAACAGAGGAAGATGTTGCCAACAAAACAGGAAAGGATAAGATAGAAGCAATATTGTCTTGGATTGACAAAGCTCAGAAAAGAGGTAGAGATTCATTCTTTCGAAAACAACTATTTAAAAATTGTAATTGTTGCAAAAATGAATATTTTCAGAATGTGCCATGTATCATTTAAAATAAAATAATCAATTAAAATGACCTTAACTGGAGAATTGGACTAGATATACATAGTACTGGACTTAACTATTTTTTTCGGTCGTGTGTTAGTCTATTACTATGCTCAAAGCTGTCATTAATTTCACATGATCCTGACTGGATTGAATAACTCAATGCACACAGTGCCCAACCCAAGATCCAGGAAACTTCAAAATCTGGCACAACTTGGGTCCCAAGGCTGCTGGTTCTGAGAGAGTATATCTGTATTTAATAGCGTGGCCATTCTAAAAGTAGAAAAGTCATCTGATCCAAATGGGAGAGATCCTAAATTAAGTAAAGAAAGCAAGGATGGAATTGCGTAGGTTCTGGACCCAAACTTCCATTCCCCCATGGGTATGAACGTAGTATTAGAGGGCTGGAGGATTTCAATGTCTGTTTGAACATAGGAGAGGGATAAATTTGGCAACTACATGCCACCCAGCCTTATGACAATGGTGGGGAAATGTTTGGAGACAATAATCAAGGGCAAAAATTAAATGGCATTTGGAAAAGAAAGGGCGATCAAATAAACGTCAGCATTGGTTTGTTGAAGGCAAATTTGTGTTTGACTAATGTGTTTGAGATTACTGATGAAGATATGCAAAGGCTTGGTGAGGATAATGCCGGTGATTTTGTGTATATAGCATTTCAAATGGTTTTGGAATGTTTCAATTCACTGATGAAAGTTTATTGCACCAAACCTTTACGTCTGTTTCTCTCTACAGCTGCTGCCTGACTTGTTTAGGAATTCTAGCATTTTCTGCTTTTATTCCAGAGTTACAGCATCAGCTATATTTTACTTTTGCATCACATAATTAACTGTTTCCTAAATTGAAAGCTTACAGAATTAAAGAAACAATAGTAGCCTGGTTACAATATTAAAAAGACAGATAATTGCAAGTAGTGATGAGGACTTGTTTTTCAAACTGGAAAGAGGCATAAATTGGTTTCAGCCTAAGGTCACGATTCAAAACATGGGCTTTTCTAATGTATATTAATAACCTGGACTTAGGTAGATAGGGTATAAATCTAAGGCTTTGCAAATAACACGAAACATGGAGATGTAATAAAAAATGAGGAGAATAATAACACACTTCTGGCGGGTGTAAGTGGACTGGAGATAAGCAATCTTTAGATGAAATGAAATGTGTGAAATGATATACAGATTTAGGAAAAATGAGGAGAGACAATGTGGACTGAAAAAGGGAACAATTTAAAGGGGTTGAAGGAGCAGGAAGGCCTTGTGGGTACCTGTATATAAAATCTTGAGGTGGCAGGTGAAATTCAGAAGGTTTGGCTTTGTTAATAAAGCAATAGAACATAAAAGCTCGGAAATTATGCTTAACACTTATTAAATATTTCAGGCCTCAGTTGGAGCACTGTGCTCATTTCTGGGCATAACACTCTCGGAAGTTTGTCAAGATTTGGGAGAGGATGCAGCTGGGATTTTATACACCAGGATGAGAGAGTTCTGTCATGTAAAGAAGTGGAGATTTGCTCCTTAGAGCAGATAGAAAAGGTAATTAGAGATTTTGGAGAGTCATTCAAAATCATGAATTGATTGATGGAGTGAGTAATAAGAAATTATTTCCAGTGGCAGGAGGATTAGACTAACAAAGTCATCCCCTAATGAGTTTTTTTTTCTTACATTTCTCCCAAATAACCTGCATTGCTCAAAACCTGTATTTTGCAGAGTTAATAATTCCAAACTATCAGTGTTCGCTACTATCACTCCACTGAAACTGACAGTAACTTCAATTGTGTGAAATAGCATGAAAAATTAAAGGGTTATGAGTGATTTTAAACTTCTTCAAAGGTTGCATTGTAGAGAAACATTCCAGATTGCAACTAATGAACATAATAACACTTCGTATTGACAAAACCTTCCACTCTTACACAATTGGTCTCATTCTAAAAACCGGTGGGTGAATTGTTGACTAGGCTGCACTGAGGCCTTTAACAGAATAGTAGCTTCATAACTGCAGCTAACTGCTCCCTCTCTAAAAATTTTTCACAATAGAGAAATTTGATAAAGTAATATTTTTCTTCAATTTTTTAAATTTTAGCTTCTATTGTAACCCATCCATAATCATATATTTCACCACCTAAAATTTTAAATTAACAATGAAAAGATTCATTACTTTGGCATTACTAATTTTCTGACTTTGAGAATATGTCAATGTGACTGAATTAATGCTCTGCTGATATCACTGCTGCATACCAGGAGATTCCCATGAGTTAGCATTTGATTAAAACTGCATAGTGAAGGGGAAAGTCTGCTTCACAGAATTTGTTGGATTTTTACAGGCAGTTTTCTTTGAGATTATTGGTCACTGCACTATCACTGACTGTAAAATCTGGGCAAATGTATTTTTAGAAGATAAATATTAGTTCACACCATTCACACTTACCAACAACTCTCCCTAGGAACAGTGTCTTCAGAAAGTTAAACTCGATATCTGTCGTTGGTGGCAGGCTGTAAGGTACTGCAGGATAATGGTCCAGCTGAACAAAGATGAAAAAAGATAGAAAGGAATTAGATCATATTGAAATGATACTTAAGGGAAAACTGTGTTTTCTGGGCTCTTCTTCAAGCCGTTTTATTTTTCAGAGGCAGATAGCAGTACTGGCGACGACTTGCACAGGCCTCTTTGATTCCTCACTCATCAAACTTTGCAGGCTATGCAGGTAGTGGCCTGTGGTGTTGACTGACCCCAAGGAATTAACACAGACTGTGTGCAAAACCTAGCAATATTCGGCAAACAAGTTCTTCCGCTTATTGCTAATTACTTAAATTATTGACAGTCTTTCAGATAGGAAAAACAGTATATGTCAACAATACATGAATGTGAAATCATTGAGTTTTAAAATTATTATCTCTCTTTTATCAAAATATTATATATTAGATTATTTTCTAGATTGTTCACGGGTTTTTACAGCACAATTTGATAAACAAGACTGTATAATGTTCTGATAAATGATCAGCACAAAGCTCTCAGTAAATTTCATTCCAACTTGGTAACATGGGTGGAAGCCCGCATAGCTGCAAACTATGCAAAAGATTTTTTACACTGGATAAATAATTCTAGTGTAATGGTTTCTTGTATAACTATTTGTACCACACTGATACATAAACTTAAATTAATTACATCTCATTTATGTACATTACAAAAGTGATTTAAAATAATCCAATAAAACACTGTGGGACATCCTGAAGATGTGAAACACACTATATACGTGTAATAGACAACAAGGTACAGAGCTGGATGAACACAGCAGGCCAAGCAGCATCATAGGAGCAGGAAGGCTGACATTTCGGGCCTAGACCCTTCATCAGAAAAAAGGCTATTTCTTTTACATCTGATTATACCATAATCCTCTTTTGGTGGCAGACATTATATGAATCATTATGTTTTGCCAACCAAATGGAAAGAATGTAGAGCAATGAAGAAAACAACTTCAAATGCAAGGTTCATGTAAGTTACAAAAGATTAAACAAAAGTTATTTTTACTAACTGAAGCATACTTAAAGTGATTTATAATAGAGCTTTTTGACTGGCAAACCAAAAGTGACAATTAGTAGGACTTAAATGTCAACTTGAAGTACCATTTTCATTCAAGGCTGCATTCTTCAGAGACACACTCAAAGAACCATTTTGTAATGAAAATACAAAGAAATGAGAAACATTTTACGATAATTGCATTTTAACAGCTGCATTGTTTTAATTATGTAACCATCAAGATGTTCTTTCTTGACGACATTTTTTTCTCATTTTCTTTATTTCATTCAGGTCCCAAAAATCAATGTTTTTTATTTTGGAAGTGAAGTGAAAGGTGGGGGATGGGCAAAAGGTAGATGGCTGAATTCCTTTGTTCGTTGCAATATGGAGGTTGTTATAGTAGCACAAGCATGTCTGAGTCTTGTAGTTTTTAATGATCAGATGCAATTCTTAAGATTCTATCCCAAATGGGATCCTTCCTCATACTTCAGACCACAATAGTTTCCTTGAGTAAAATCACTGATCTGTTGATTAGTTCTGAGAAATGGATATCATGTAAGCTTGTCTCCTTTGGGATTAGATTTTCTAATTTTATGGTTTGAATTTTACACTTCCCTTGGAGTGGGCTGGCAGCAAAGATTGATGAGAGGAACTTGTTGTGGACTGTGAATTGTGCCCATTGCCATCACACTTCTGTCAATAATATCTTATAAGCGGCAGGTTTGGTGCTGAGCAGCCCATCAGCTTTTAGGCCAATTGTGGCCCTTAAGTAGCTAATGGCCGTTAAAAGACACTAAGCACTGTCACTGGTATTTGGCAGGGGGGTGTGGGAGCCTGCCATGTGGCCAGGCAGCTGAGTTTAATAGTGCAGGAGGATTGGGTTCCTATAGCTCAGGCACCTGTTAGCCTACATAAGTCTGCTTTCCCCTCAGTAACAAAGACCAGCCTCGCTGGAACCCTCTGTCCTGCCCTGGCGATCTACCTAGTCACTCCTATTAGGATTTGCCTCACTGGACTTGAGAAGTACTCCGAGTCACATTTCTTCTGAACCACCATCGATATTTCTGCTCTGGGGCCTGATGCAGTGGAGCAGAAGCACGTTTCAGTATGCAAATAGTCACACTTCAATTGTTTTTGGTGGAAATGAAGTTTTCTTCTACATCCCTGGTCCCATGCAATCCTTCTCTGGACTATTTGCATTTCAAGACTACCTAGCATGAAACTTACATTGACTTCTGCGAAAGATGGGTTCCCCATGTTAGATGGAGCTTGAAAATTTGACTTTCTTCTGTGTACCACTTTTGTTTGGAGGTGCTGACATTTGGAAGCATATTAAAAACATGCCAGGATTGAGAGTTTGTGAAGGAAGTGAAACTCTTGCTGAGTATTTGGCAACGTTCTGAATGGTGGGTGTGAAATGTTTTGATACTTGCATATGTCACCATTAGGTGCTGCATTTTAATATTGATGCATTTTTAATATAGTGATTCATCATAGGGATGTACTGTTTAAAGATAAATTAATCTTTTCTTTGACCAGCCTTCAGTAATTGTAGACATAGTAACAAAATGTTTTAAAAAATGTCCTCTGCAGTCTTATTTTTGTGCTCTGATTTAAGCAGTCTGACAGTTCTGGCTATTTAAAAAACCATTATTCTGAAAGTAGAATAAATAATTGGTCTGTACTTTCCTTCCATGATTGGCAGGCACACTGCTTTTAGGATTTATTCTGCCAATGAATCTGTAACATTTTGTTTTTACAGCTGTTCCATAATGAATGCTTGGTTGTGTTTCAAAAGCTCCAGCTCAGCAGTTGATCTCATTAATCCAAGAACTAGTGAAACTTTCATGAACATATAATAACAGATTTCATCTTTGACCTGTTTTTATTTGTTTACAAACCTATTAAAAAACCACATAAAGGATTACAACAACATGTTCCTCAGGTGCTTTTAGTCCAGTATCAATGACAGTGAATTTGAGTTTAGGGTTATCTTAGATTCTTACAGGATTAATGGTTTCCTAATGATTTTAAAATAATCCCCATGTCTATCGTATAGCTCTTAAATATATATAGGACACAATGAATGAGTGACCATGGATATTGCATGGTGGGGATGGTGATCAGAGGGGGCATGGGGAATATGGGATGACTTGGGATTGGGTGGGGGATGTGGGCAGGCATGGTGAACCATGAGGGCTAGAGATGACATGGAGCGGCATGGAGGAACATGAGTGGGCATGAGGTGGTATTGAGGAATGTTAGGTGGCATGCGATTTTATGAGGGCATGTGAGATTTTGAGGGAATGAGGATTGAGTTTAGGAGACCTTTACATGGGATTAGAAGCTGGGCTGCTGTGTTGGAGAATAAAGGTGGACAAATCTACACCCACATTCCTTCATTGCTGCTTGCAAGATGCATGCCAAACCCAAGTCTAATGTGAAAAGGTCAAAGGTCAAATGTGAAACATGGTTCAGGTGTGCTTTTTATGAGCTGTGCTAGTGCAGGTCATGATTTGCTAAACTAGATGAAATCCTGCCTCAGAAATATGAAATCTACGACTTCAGGCAATTGATTGCCCCAACCCCATAAAGAATTACAGCTTCCAGAGCAGGCTTGTCCCTAACTATATGGACCATGACCTTAGTGTCAAATTCTGAACAATTTCACTAACAGCCAACAATGAGACAACATGCTTATCCCATTCGCCCAAACTGGATTTTAGTGCAGTTCCGAGAGATGAAAGGTGCGCTCTAATTCACTATGATGCTCAATTCACCCAAATACATGTATCTATTAGTCATAACTGAATCATTGATTTGATATTGTATTGAAGAATTCTTTGTATCCCTAATTTTATATAAACGGAAAGAGTTCAGAGACAGTTTAACATTGTAATACCTGGAAAGGGTGGATTATCTGATGGAAAAAGCCTGGACAGTCCACTGGAGTTTAGAAGAGTAAGAGGGGACTTGATTGAAACAAATGAAAACCAAAAGAACTGCGGACGCTGTAAGTCAGGAGCAAAAACAAAGTTGCTGGAAAAGCTCAGCAGGTCTGGCAGCATCT